CATTATTTTTCCTGCGCAAACATTTCCCGGAATTTTAAAACGTGTTTAATTAATTTGTGCTGTATACGGCGCAGTGCAGCGCATGTTGTAACAGCAAATGTTTAAATTTATAACTAAACCTGGCTTCGTAGCATTCAGACCGTAAATAACCTCAATGGGAATACATTATGGAGATTTTTGAAGGTTTCGCATTTGGCTTCGTTCACGTTCCTCTCACTAATGGAAAATTATACACGTTAAGTAAAAACTCACAAACAATTATGACGCTTCTCGCTTGAGTTGATGAAGCATTGAAGACATGTTTACTTTTGATGACAAAACACGATTATGTTTTTTAGCAATGCGCTTCTCATTCAAATGAGACAAGATAAAATGTAATCAAAATTAACAAAACTCTTCTATATAATACTTAACTTCGATTGCAAACATTTTATATTTTGGTGGTACGTATTTAAATTAAAACTAGTGGAGCTACAACAACACAAACTTTTTCGTATTATTTGTGACAAACGTAATGTTGTAATATTACGTATCTGAGAGACCGGACGGGAACTTGCTCCGGCTGGGCGGTGCTCTGCTGGTGGGAGATACCTGGTTGAGGAAAATCCCGCTACCCGACATCGGCGCCGGTCTCACCGTTCAGCGGGGAAGTTCATCGTCACCTCCCGAGGAACACATGCACTGCACTTTCGGGACTAATGACCTTAGCAGTTGACGCTTCCGAAATCACTAATCAATCATTAAATACGGCTCCAAATTTTGCAATTAAAATATACTGGTAGGGCTATTTTTTTAATACTATTTTTAACGTCATATTTCAACGCATCTATTAGGGATCCGAAAAACTGAAAGAAAGTGAAAAAAAAATTTAGGGGCCAATTGATGGTAGGTGAGGCAAAACCGAAAACCTAGTCTAGACAGAAGAGATAGGGAAATAACCAGTTCTTGAAAAGCCTGTGCCAGTCTCTGTAGCACTGCTAGTTTTAAATGGAAGTATATGTATTTTTTCTATCATCTTTCTAAAGTATACGAAGAGGCGGATGCAATATTGTTTTTGTTACGAAAGAAACAGTAGCAAATTTTGGGTTCTACATCTCCTCAAAAGCTAAGTTTCCGCGCCTTTTTGCAACGGCTTACCAGGAGGCGAAAAGAGTCGGTCGGCTCTCCACTCTCTAGAAAGAAATCGCAATTCAAATTTAATGTTCTCAATGAAACTATTCTAATTTGCATTGCATTCTTGCATTGATCTCCTACACATCTGTTTCTGTATTAGATACAAGAATAACAAACTAGTTATTTATCATAAACGCGAACCAGGGAAGGTGGCTCAGGACATCAATTGATGTCACTGCAGTGCCTCTAACCGGGAGGTCCTAGGTTTGAAACCCGACGATGGGAGGATTTTCGCCACTAGCTTGTCAGCTATGTCGATTTCAGTCGCTGTGTGAACGAGAGTTCTAATGACCAGCTATTCTGATCGCTAGTTTTCTGTGGTTTCTCCGATCAACACCAGGCGAACGGGCCACAGACCGCGCGATCTATCCTTCCTCTTCCTTGTCATTCTTCACCCCTAACTTACACACATTTACACTAACTTGCACTACACTATCCACATGTCGGGTGGCTAGTCAGGAGCGTAAAGCGTGGTTCGGGCGGTGCCTCGCTTCAATGGATGATATATGGTTGGGGAAAACACGAAAAGCCGACGGTAGATCTCGCCATCTCGAGGAAAGATCACCGCTACCTTCCGAGCAAAAACATGCACTACACTTACAAGACTAATGACCTCAGCAGTTGACGTGTCTGGAATCACTATCAATCAATCATTAATATAATTTCGGGAAGCAAGAGAATAAAATTATATCTCTCTTTCACAATTAAATGCATTTTTTAGGCAAATGAATTAACACAATAAGAAAGCGAAGAAATTCACACATTACTTGGACACGTTACTGGTATGTATTATAATATAAATTTGCTTTTTTAACATGTCGTGAGGGAACCACGGTTTCTCGTGCTTGTTTCCTTTGTGCGAAATACCTATTGTTTTTAGTGAGAGCGTAGGCTTCCGCGGCCGGAGTCAGTATTTAATTGGCTGTTCGGGTGACGCCGCGCCCATGGCAAAGGTGCCGACGTTTCGGTCGCCATTCTGCGACCTTCCTCAGGGCGTAATGCGCTGTTGTTTTTAATTTAACTAATACGTGTGAAATGTTGCAAAGTGTGCGGAACATTGCGAAGTGTGTATTTGATTGATAGATAGTGATTCCGGGCGTGTCAACTACTAGGGTCATTAGTCCCGCAAGTGTAGTGAATGTTTTTTCGTGATGTAGTTGTGATCTTCCCCCGCTGGATGGCGAGATGCGGGGCCCACCTACCGTCGGATGGCGGGGTTTCCCCAACCAGGTATCTCCGATCAGCGGGACAAACTCTAATCTTCCAACCTGTCTCCCGGCCTGTGTGTAGGGTAGTACATATTAGTGTACGTTTGTGTAAATAAGGGGTGAGGTTAGAACAAGAAAGAGGAAAGAAAGATCGCGCGCGGTCCGTGGCCTGTTTGTTAGAGTACTGCTCCGGTGTTCACCTGGTGTTGATCGGAGAAACCACGGAGCACTACCGATCAGAGCAGCTGGCCGCTAGAATTCTCTTCCAGACCGCGACTGAATTCGACAAGCTAGTGTCGAAAATTCTGCCACCGTCGGGACTCGAACAGAAATAGGACCTTCCAGTCAGAGGCACTGTAGTAATCAATCACATCAGTTGATGACTTGATCCACGTCTCCCGGTACGAAAGTGTGTGCGAAAGATGTTTCGCACGCGTCGCGTTAAAAAAAACTATATGTAGCGCGTGCGCGAGATGATTCACGTGCTCATCTTTTGACATCCTCACAATCGACCAAATCGGGCGCAAATCATCTATTTCGTGCGCTGGTTTTGTAACTTACAGTTTTAGATAATTTTAGTATTACGTTGTCGTGTTCTAGGTTCCTCTGATAACTCATCATTTATTTTCTACTGAAATAACTGCACTTCTATCCACATTCAATGTTATTAAAATCAGAAAGGGTTGATATTAGACGCTTGCTGTGCACTGTTGACATTCGAGAGCGAGGTCGCTCAGGGAGTGCTAGAAAGATAAAAAGTGTACAGATGCGCAGGCAAGGCCAGCTCTTTCCACCAAAAACTAAATATTCCGGGGTACTAACAATGCAGTAAACAATAATTTAAAAAGAAAATTACTTTTTAATATATGCCAGCGGGCCCTAATAATGTGATTTTTTCTCTTATTATCTCAATTTATTAAGCAAAAGATACATTATATCGTGGAATAAAAGTACAAATTTTATTCTCTTGCTACCCCAAGAATTACTTTGCTTTGCTACGAGCCAACACAAACAAATGAACGTGTAAGTAGGAAATTAATGCAAGAAAACAATACAAAACAGAACTTACATTAAAAACTTGAAGTTTCGATCTCTATTTATGGGGCGTAACGCCAGCGAACGACAGACTTTTGCGCCTTCATGAAAACCGTCGCGGAAAACGTGTCGTCAGAGGATTTTTTCTACACTCTCTTTCCATATATTAACAATTCTTGTATTCGTCTCTTCTCGTACTTTGGAATAGAGGTAGTAAAAATGTAAACACATCCATTTAAAATATCAAAATTGTGTAAATATCTCTAAAACTTTAAAAAGTTACAAACCAGAAAACGAAATATGTTATCTCATTATCTACCATAACTTGGCACATCCCCATACCTCTAACCGCTTCGAAGATATCCGCCGAGACTAACTTAGAGGGTCCGCCCTGACGAAAAGAAGTGAAGCTCTTTGCTCAAATGAAAGCGTAGAATTCCCATAGACCAATCGGAAATGTATTGATACGAGTATCTTCCGTATCTTGGACGGGTCAGCTCAACTTCCCTGCACTGTTTCTGGGCATTTAGTAGCACAATTTCATTGATTCTGAAAAAGGCCTTCTAGTGCTACGACCCGTGACCTCACTTAGGCGCCACATGGACGACATTCAAAGTATTCAAAGTTGTAACACGTATTTAGGAATAGAGATCGGAGAACATTCCGTTAAAATAATAATGCAGCATATAACCAAGATATAATTGCCTAAGTACATCTTCGTAAATATCAGGCGATTTCCATTCAGGGCGGCTCCGAGGTCGACTCGGTCTCCTTGCCAAGCGAGTACCAGGATCTTTCCTGGGGGTAACGGAGGCCGGAACGCTGTGCTCGCCACACCATCTCCTCCTTGTGCCGACGGCGACGAATAGGTGAAGCCCTACCTTCCCCTCCCCTGTGGGACACATCGACCTGTGTCCAATTGCGATACCTTTTACATCTTCCTAAATAGAAATTTTCTTAAAAAAGATGTAAAACAAAAACGTTGTTCAGAACCCTCAGATCATGATGCCGGTGTTTTTTTCTTCTTCTGATCTGTGACAATTCGTATATCCCGAATGTGGTGGTGTTCCTCCCTGGTAGTTTCAGCGCTGACCTACACTTTGGTTTGAGGAGTTTTCGCCTTCCAGAATCTTCCCGGCGGGGCACCGCCCAGCTGGGGCACGCTCTATGCCCCTCCCCCCGGTCTTGACTCCCGACATGTGTGATAGTGTAGTGCATCTAAGAGTAAAAGTGCGTGTAAGAGGGGAAAAGGAGACAAGAATGAGAAAGGAAAGCCCGCGATCCTCATCCTCATCCTTGAGAGAAGAAGACTGGGCAAAATGTCTGGCGAAGTCGCTGAAACGAGAGATTTATGATGTGTCTGGGATAGCGGATATCGTATCGATGATAGGTGTCTTGGATATCCTGTCACTGATAGGTGGATCGTTGAGTGGCCTGAAAAGTTGAGGCAACATATAATAGTATTATAAAAATAAAATAATTATGTTTACAAAATTTAATTATTGTAGCGTATTTATAAGACGTTTCGCCATCTCTCCGTAAAATCCTCTCTTCATTAGACACCTTATTTATAAACATTGGTAGGGTATGAGAAGCGCAAAATGACTCGAAATGTTCCTGACTTGTTGCGCTCCGGCCGCAGGGACGCGCTGCTGACCAGCGTCATCAACTCGGCGACGAGCTTCGTGGCGGGCTTCGTCATCTTCTCGGTGCTGGGCTACATGGCGCACGCGTCGGGCAAGCCCATCCAGGAGGTGGCGACGGAGGGCCCGGGCCTCGTATTCATCGTGTACCCGGCCGCCATCGCCACCATGCCCGGCTCCATCTTCTGGGCGCTCATCTTCTTCATGATGCTGCTCACGCTCGGCCTCGACAGCTCGGTGAGTGGCGGCAAAGGAAGTGGCCGAGGAAGGCCTCCGAACCAAATCGATCATCGCGATGCTCGTATGAAAGAGAATTTAAAAAATCGATACATAAACAACAGGTTTTCGATATCGAAAAACACATCAATGTTTAAAATGTCGATGTGTTAAATATGATGAAACATATCGAAGTAAAATGACGTGGTTGTAATATAATACATAATTCGTCGATAAATATTCTGTCATCTTAATTTTCTAATCAATATTCTATGAACTAAAGGTTTAAAATTCAGTTTAATGATATAACGTAAAAAAATGTAAAAATGGTATGATAATTCTTGTATGTTTGTATGAGATTTATAAATTAACAGTAAAATAAAGTTAAACTTCAATCATCGCGATTATTTGAACTCGAGGCATTTATTTGGATTATTAATCCAACTATATTTTCGATCAGAAATACTCGTATTCGGGTAATTGTTTCCCAATCAAGAATGCAGTATTAGTGATAAACGAACGATACAATTGCGAAGAGACCTGCATTACAAGAAAGTTTAATCTCAACTTAGTAAAAACTCTTATGCCTCAGTGTCGTAGCGGTTTGTTCTTAAGAAACAATATTTCGTATTTCTAATACAGGTATTTTAAGAGTACGATATTTAAAGCAACATAGACTTCTCCTTGAAGTGATTTCGAGCTCGGAAACCATTCTACTCAGATCTGAATCTTTCGGGCTAATTTTTCCCTTTTCTCAAAATTGTTTCACACAATCGTCCATCAATTCATATATTTCAGCAATCGTGTGACTGACGTTCGACTATGTTTTACACACAAATCTTATTTCAGAACATGAATGGTCTACGAATAATTGACGTTTATGAAAAAGGGCGTTATTGGAGTTCGGGGTGGTGTAATGCTGTATAAGACTCGACAAGAATATATATAAGTTTATTTGTTGAATTATTTTTATTTGCTTATAATACCTGACTTTTTATTTGCAGTTTGGAGGTTCAGAAGCTATTATTACAGCCCTGAGTGACGAATTTCCAATCGTCGGAAAAAACAGAGAAATATTTGTCGCTTGTCTTTTCAGTCTGTATTTTCTCGTTGGACTTGCATCATGTACCCAAGTAAGCACATGATTACTACTCCTAAACAAAACATGTAACTGAAACTTTAAACAAAAAATAATAAGAGTTATGGAGACAAATAATAATTTATATCACTGGTCTTTACAGGGTGGATTCTACTTTTTCCATTTGTTGGATCGCTATGCAGCCGGATACTCCATGCTATTTGCGGTTTTGTTTGAGTCAATTGCAGTATCCTGGATATACGGTATATTTTTATCACAATCCTATTTATTTTAGGAAATATTATTAACCACATTTGAAGTAAAATGTTATTAACTGTGTCATTGTTTATAACTGCATTTAAAATTTCATTATGTTTTAAATAGGTTTTAAGTTACAATTTAATTACAGGTACACAAAGATTTTGTGATGATATCAAGGATATGATTGGTTTTTCGCCTGGTGTCTATTGGAGAGTGTGCTGGAGATTTGTGGCTCCTGCATTCCTTATGGTAATATGATCGATATTTCATAACATTTAGTCTATTTTCAATCGTTGCTAAAAAGGGTCTTAATTGTAATGAAATGCCCAACCATGAACCAACACTAAATAATAGATTTTTTTGTATACCAGAATTATAAACGACCTTTTCTGTTACACGAAATCGTTGATAAAGGAGCATTTTACAGCACGAATGATCACACATTCATTCATGTTCAGCACGATCATCACACGTTCAGCCAATCGCAGGAGGAGAATCGTGGGGTGGTAGCAGTGAACGGAACAGCCGACTACCGCTTTCTCGCATAGATATCAAATACCCCACACGACAGAAGAAAGTTATTTTGTAAAATTAGGTTTGATTCTCTTATAAATTTATAATGCGAATACAAAAAAGTATGAAACTCGTTTATAATGTTGCTCTATTGCATTTTGCTTCATTGCATTACAATTTTGAAAACTCGCTCCTAACGTGGCTCTTTTTCAAAAAATGTACAAAATACTCATTCAATAAAGATTAACATTATAAACTAGTTGCATAATAGTAGTTTATCAATTAGTTTATAATGTTAAACTTTACTGTATGAGTATTTTGTAAAACAGCATTATAAATGAATTAGAGAATTTAAGTTAATTTTAGGAAACAACTTTATTGTGACGTCACGGGCGAAACAAGTGGAGCCACAACAACACATACTTTCTCGCATTATTTCTTGATTTTCAATTTTCGAAAATTTAGCAAGCTCAACAAGAGTTCAAATCAGGCCCACGCCATTATTTTAAGGGTCTCTTCTCCTTTGTGTGAAAAAAATGTTAAGAAAAAATATGGAGCGGTTTTTAAGGAAACATATTTTTTATAAATTGCGTTATTTCTAGCACAAATTACTCGAAAATTCTCGTTTCTTCGAAAAATTGTACATGACCTTTTTTAAAGAGGTGCTTTTTACATCAGACTGACTCAGACATAAACCTCTGTCATCAATTTTGTAGTTTTGAAATGTTAACTTTTTGCAATTTCAAAAAACGGAGAGTTTGCTAAAAATGAGACTATCACCATGCTTTTTACATACATACGAGAAGAAAATTTAAAGAAAAAAGTGTTATAAAAATTTGGAGAAAAATGTGTTATAAAAATGTTTAAATTATCTACTTTTCGCGCAAATGTACACGAAAACTATTCATATTTTCGAAAAATTAAAAATAACTTTGTTTAAAAATCTATCTTCAAAGAACAGATTTCATTCAGGAAAAATTTCCATCTTTAATATTGTACTTGTAGGATGCCCATAAAATGCACTTTTGCTTATGACGCACGATTATATAACTTTCTCTTCCAACTAAGTAAATCCGAGAAAGTAAAAATGCTGGTTAGCTGTTCCGTTTATCGCTACCTCCCCACGATTCTTTCTCTGAGATTGGCTGCATGTGTGATAACGCAATTATTTGTGTCATAAAGTGTCCTTTTATGAACAATTTCTTGTAACGAAAAAGGTCGTTTATAATGTTGGAATATAAATAAATTGTTTTCATGAAACATTTATGTTCATTTTCAATATATAGTTATTAAATTCTTGCCAAAAAATTACAGTTCTAAAATTACTATTGTTGTCCAAGTAGCGTTTCACTACAATGTTATTATACAAAAGGAGCAAATAAGAAATAAAAATTGATTTTCAAAGACGTTTTCCGGCATGCACCTCTTTGAAGGGTATGCGAGTAAAAAAACGTCCAAATTAAAATCTTTATAATTTTACAATGATTTTGATTTGTTCTTCTTCAGTTTATCATTGTCTATGGACTTATTGGTTACGAACCTCTAACATACGATGAATATGTCTACCCAGCTTGGGCAAATTTAATTGGGTGGCTGATAGCAGGATCCAGTATTATTATGATACCTGGAATGGCTGCTTATAAGTTGTTAACAACTCCTGGAACCTTCATGCAAGTAAGTAACATTCTATTTCATTCAAGTAAATATATATTTTTTAAACACAAGCCAGCACAAAATGTGACTAACACGGTGAATTATCTTTGTAAATTATTGATAAGAACAATTTCACCCTCGCAAAATTAGTAATGAAATCATTACTTTTTCCGTTTACTAATGTAACTTCAAACATTGTTACGTAAAGAAGAACTTAAAAGAAGTGACTCAGACCCTCTCAACTAGAAAATGTACTCTTTGTCAGAAATATTGGTTTTTCAAGAAACATGTTCATCGGATGATAAGTTAGAAAGAGAACCAAGCCTTGCAAATTCGTTTAATCGCTTAGAAGAAAATGAGCTCAAATTATTTTCACATTACTCGTTCGTTGCAATTTACTTCATAATCGTGCTGGGATCACTGTTGACCAATGTTACTGACATTGCAAGTGTAGGTACCTGCGTCAAGAAATATTATCACAACGAAGAGGATATTAAAGGCCCGTCTTCACGATGGAATATGTCACGGCATTTCGCGTCATTCTCGGTCGTGCCGCTAGATGTCGCATAATCGCGATCATATGAAGCAATGCTTGCGATCATATGACATCTAGCGGCACGCTGAGAAAGACGCGAACTGCAGTGACGTAATGCTCCTGTGAAGACTGGCCTTGGGAAGCAACTATATAAAAATCGCACTGTAGAACATCACGCTCAGCTGATAACCAAAAGGTCGCTAGAATCTCCAATGATTTCACAAACCAACACCAGTTTTACGGTTAGCCATCATTTAGTAATGAGATCTGCTCCTTTTTGAAGCCACGGCTCGGTACCCACGATTTCGCAGGATAAGACCCTATTTTCACGCCGTGGCTCGAAGATTCCTCCCAGCAACGCCAGTTTTACACTCATTTGGTTATGAGGTCTCAACCCACTCATTCCCACAAATAGATGATATCTGTTATCAAAACTCTGTGACAGTGGGGTAGTTAGGGGGGCAGGAGGGGCGGTGTCACCATTTTAGGGGTCACGCCAATTCGTTTCGTTTTTAGTTATTTCAAAAACAAGTGTCGCAAAGCAACTAATACAATACGAGATTGGAAATTATAGGATATGAAATTGCTAGATATCGTACAATGTTTCATCCACTTTGTCAAAATGGATTAGATTTAAAACGAAATTTCGTCCCACGACTTCATTCAGTATTCACATTTTTCTCCTACAAGTGGCCGGGCATGTCGTCACAGATAGAACAATGAAACACACTTGCCTGTATCTTTCGAAGAGTGAATATAGTCTGAAGACATAGAACGACGACTACTGGTCACATATCTGGCATATCTTGATCTTACCTAACTAAAGGGGGTAAAGATTATTTATTTAAACATTATATTTCAATTATTCTGCATTACTTACATCTTTAATATATTATTATAAATAAATGTCATGTGCAAATATACGCGGATTTTTATTCAATAATGTGTAAAATATTCAGTAATAGGTATTTTTATATCTAATTTATAGCTGGGGGAACACCACTAGATTTGTTCAAGTGACACCAACTGAAGCGGCGTGTAGGTGTACTGTTACGCGAGAAATGATCGCGTAATTTGAAGTGGTTGAAAACCATCATTGAAGAAAGGATTACGTTCTACAAAAAACGAAAGATATTGGGTACGATCTTTAAACGAGTGTTTCACTGCATTTAAAGTTTCCATGAATACACAGAAATAATTATTTTTATTTGTAGTAGCATTTCGTATTTACAAAGTAACCTTATTTTTTTGTATCAACAAGGAGGAAAATGTATGACCTTTGTCGGATTGTAAAGTTCTGGGTCCTACTGCCTAGAAGAAAAAGGTAGCGATCCACTCATCAACTACGTACATAATATAGATTATGCATCTTGGAAAACTCATCGAAAAACCCAATCGATATTTTAAAACCAGACGGCTCCTCTATCGATTTAGGGGGGCTTATTCTTGAGCGTTGTTTCAGTTGGTGATACACTAGTACAAAATAGTCACAATTCACCACAACGGTAACAACGAAATACAAATTATTCCAGAGTTATAAATCTTCCATTTGATACGCGTTTTTGAATAAATTATCTAGTTGAATCTGATTATGTTTTAATGTTATTATGTTATGTAGCATCTGTTTATTTTTAACATCATCGACATCATGTCGACTTAATGTCTAATCAATATTTTTTTCAGCGCCTCAAATATTTAACTACGCCGTGGCGAGATCATCAAATAGCTGCTATTAATGGAGTCCAAACTGATTCCACTCAAATACGTCTAGCTTCAAGTCCTCAGGCAGATGATGTATGATTTCTCTATTTGCCAAAAGGTGCTCAATTAATGATACTGCAAAATAATTTCAAGTATGGAATAAAATCAAGTATGGAATACAACGTATATTATTTATAAAGTTTATTTTAATATTATAAAAATAATTTTTAAATTATTTGTTGTTATAAATGTAATGAAGATAAATAATTTTAATACCGCACCGTTTCTAAGCTTTCAATTACCCACAGAATGTTTCAAATTTAATATGCGAGGTATGTACGAACTTTTCCATAAATTAGTTTGTAGAAAAGATGCGAAAAAATTATTTCTTCCGTATTCAAGTAATATTTTCATGAAATAATTGCCAAAGTTATGACATATTGAACAGCACCATTATAGGATTTCCGGTATCGGTTATATGGCTCGCTAAATAGAGATCGGTTATGAATAGCTCTAGTCGCGACAGTTTACTTTGAAACAATCTGTAATGGTGCAGTAACTAGTAGTATACGCTATAGCCACACCTAGAAAGTACATGCCATAATTACAAGTTTCTCAGAGCACAAGGAGGTTGAAAAGAGGTGCTAAAGAATGCAATAACGTAATAAAAGAGTATAATCCATATCGCAATAACTTACTGCACCTTTACAAGCACACAGTTCCTCAAATTAAGACCACAAATGAACTAATTTCGAAATTTTTGTTATTTTACTCGTGTATTTGTATACTTCAAGCGCGCGCGTGGGCACACTTGGCAACCTTTCTGTTCCTCAGCAGTTTGCATAGAGACAATCATGAGAAAGCATACGTTTAGGTTGGCTCAAAAAAGTTAAAGGAGAACTTTCGCGTCGTTGCCCGCCCGAGATGCAAAAAAACTTATTTTACATTATTTTTTAACAAATAACCGTGAAAATGCACTCTATACAACGTATTATATGCGCACATTGTCTTGAACCCTTCAATACCTACATCAATTTTTTTATTAACATTAATTGAATTACGAATAAATGTTAGTGATGAGTGTTGTTGATAAAACCTAATTTCCAGTAATGTTCGCTTCTATATTACAGAAACTATTTTGCAAATATAAACGAGCTACAGATTTGTCATAAAATTCCTGCCGCCGAAATAACAAACCCACTTCTCCTCTTGTATCTAGCGAAGTGAGGGCTCTAGAAAACGTGCGTCGATACCATACAATGCAGTCCTCAAATTCGTTTCTTATAATCGCTGTGAATTTAACGTTCGGGTCCGCAAGACCCGCAATACGGGCGGGCCCTGGTAAAAAAGAGCCTATTTTTAGGGAATATTTTTATTATTTAAGGTACTAACACTACTTGTGTTTCCTATACACTTTTATAAAGGCTTTTTTTTTTCGATGACACCTTTCGTCTTTTTCTACCAAAATGCCTTCAAAAAGACACTAATTTTTGTAGTGTACGTACACTTTTCGGGAATCCAAGCACTGATCTGGTTATTCGCAATGCGCTGTTCACTTGTGTAAAAAAGTAGCGTTATAGCGCGCAGGCTGTCCAACTTTATTTATACTTGTTACCTAAGAGTGCAGCCCTGTTTACTTGCTTCCTTATTGTGGTTTCGGGCGAAGATTGTGAAGGTATTGCCCCTCCTTGTAAATCGACTCCAAAGTTGCGTAATCGGTGAACGAAAGCAAAGAACAAGGGACGGGAATGAGACATTTTATTTCTTAGTTAAAAAAACAACTGCTTGTTTTAATTCATTAAAGAAGTTTTTGGCGAGTAATATGTTGGAAATTGTATATTTATTATTTAAACATCAAGCTTCAACGGTCTTAATGTTTTAATCGAAGAATAGTCACATGTTTTATGTTAACTGCGCAGGCCATAACGCCGTCAAGAAACTTGAACGCGTATCGAAGCGTCAATCGGCCTTAAACGTTTGGTTATAAAGGTCATTGCGCTCGTGGATGCGTTGTTTTGGTGTATCCATTGTTCTCGCCTAAGTAAGTCGATTTTTACCCGCTCGTTACGATTAGGGAGAATATGTCAATCTTATGTTTCGCACTTTTTACGCAAAGCAAAGCGTATGTGCGAAAGCAGAGCTCAAGTTGATATTAGCAAATGAACATCGCACTCTTACTTATAACCAGATCTGCGCGAGAAACACCCGCTTTTCAATTACAAGTATTCGACGGTATATTTGGAATAACCCCAAACTGTTTTCAGATATCCATAATTTTATAGATCAAGGCTGCAACCTGGTACAAATTGTACCAAGTATCAATAAGAAAGGTTGAAAAAAATCCCCAGAAATTGTAAAATACGAGCGAGGAAATTCCGATCTATGAATTCTACATGGGCCACATTTCATCCTCAAACAGTCTTCCCTAAAACATTATAAACAAAAATGAAATTATTTCATTACTTTTTACACTGTAGACCCATTTTGGCTTGTTTTATTTTATTTTTGTCCGAAGCCTCTAGACACTTCAAAACGAAAACTTTACAGTAACATACTTCATATATTGGCTGCCATCAGGCAATTGCCAGCTCTGCCTATTATTCAACATTAGTAAATTTGGTAATTATCTACATGAAACAAACACCTTACAGTGAATTTTTAAATCAATACAGTGGATTGTAAAACATAATTTTTATGTTTCAAAAAATGTGCATTTGCATATCCACATTGATTGTGATGCTAGCTTTTCTTAGTGCTGCATTGCATCCTCAACCCCATTCCTATCACTTTTGAAACATTCTGTGTGGAAGTTAAAATTGTTGCAATATATTGAATAAATTATTTAAAAGTAAAATACATAAAAGTTGAAATTAGTCATGTAATTATTTAATATAAAATTTATAATTTTCATGACTTTGCTTTAACAGTGTAATATTGTGGTAAATGTGATTACATGTTTAGATTTGAGATAATTTTGAAGTAAACTTAGTTAATTACAATAAAGAATTCAAAATTTCTTATAATAATTATTTTTAACATTTTCATCAATGCACTTTGGTAAGTTTTTATGTACATTGCTTTCAATATTTATTTTTGTATTATCTAAATATATACAATTACTGTTGATTTATTACAGTCTTTTACAATTTTTAAAATTTCTTGAAACCAACAGCAAGATACAACTTTTGTTTTAAATTTTCACAATTTAAATTTTCATTTGATATTTATGATGAATATAATATGAATTATCCATTGCACATATGAGTGTTTACTGACTGTTTCAAAGAATTCAATTCTCATTTCATATTTACAACCTATGTTACATGCTGTAAACAACAGCTTCAGAGAATCTAGCACAATCTGATTATGAGTGGTGTGGATAATTTGTTTGCTTCTTCACCCAAAACCATAATATGAAAGCAAGAAAACACAGACTGCACCCAATGCTAGCAAAACAGACAATACGTTTGGGAGCTGACGCTGCGTTGATAGTCACTTGAACGTTGTATTTCACATAATCTCTGCTCCATTCAAATTCTTGAAGGCTGGAAAGTCACCGATTTCTCTGTTCACTGAACATACATGAATGAATCTACATTATATTCATTATATTTACGTTTCTTGAGGGTCATATACTTACACTACAATTCAATAGCTAAGGAGAAAAGTAATGAACAATTATTATGAATTGATTCATTTTCAAATTTATGTCGAATATGCATAAGCCTCTTTGATACACATATATATGCAAATGGTGAAGCCAAAGAAATTAAAAATAACATTGCTTAACCAAATGTAACAAACAAACTCTATCTCTCACTTCCAAATCCAAGTGTATATTTCCTAAATGAATATCAGAAGTGTTAGAATCAAACAATAGTATTAGTTACAACTATGTATCAATGTTAACATCATCTTTGTATGTACAATTTCCAAATTGGTATCTAGTTATCTGTTACATAATACTGGCATAACTCAGAGGACACTAGTTAGTAACATGCAATATGACTGTAAGTAAATGTTTCTAAGATGACTGAGTGTTCTTTGATTACCATCAATTTCTACAAAGGACTTTTTAGCTATTTTGATATTAACAATAGAAAATTAGGCCATTTTATTTTGGCATAATAATTTTTTTTTCAAAATCTCATGTATTATTACACTATATAGGAAGAATTAATTATATTTACTTGAATATCTACAATCAATGCATTTTTCTAAATCTTTTACTATGAATCTTATGTTCTTTTCTTCTTGTTATTAAAATAACTGTTATTGATTATTATATGTAGGCCTAAGATGTGGTTGAAGTACAATATTTTTTTAAATCTTTGATATTTCAGTCATATCAATCATTGTCTTGTCACACTTTCATATTTTTTCTTCCTTTTTCAGTTGTATTTCTAGAAATAAAAGAAAATATGATATGCAAGTGTGAAAACTGTTTATATCACCAATTAAAATTTTGATGAGAAAACTTCAACAGATTTTTTTTCTTCAGGTTTTTATAACAACCAATGAGAATTAATATACTCCTAAGGTCAGAATGATCACATGTATTTAATTATTACATTTTTTAAAACAATAACTTGTATTTTTATCACTCAGTCATCACTGACGTGAATATATATCTTGTATATGAAGAAATGATGGGCAGAGAAGACTTGTGTTTTAGTATGTGCTTATAAATATATTGTAAAATTATTGAAATAAGCTTTCATAAACATGTCTAGTATCATTAGCAGAATCATAAAATGTTTGTGAATGAAGATGAGTGAATGATAAATGTGTGTAATCATATAACATATTTTACTCATCTAAAGAAGTAGAAAAACGTCAAATAATTTTATAGAACATTAACAATATTATATTTTGCTAGATATGTGCACAATCTCATTTCACAAATATTGTTATAATTCAACATTTCTGTCAAAATAATTTCAAAATCTTTAATTTTTTCTACGAACAAATGTGATACAATTGCACTTCAAAAATTACAACATGGAATATGTGAATGTTGATGTATTATACACGTAAGATAATGGACAACTTGTGTACAGCAAAGTGTTTTAGAATTATCATGAAACTACAAATTACTTTTGTACAGTTTTGTATAAAACTCGAAGGGAACCATTACAGCCATTGGTTGTTTTCGAGAAAAGTGTATAGGTATGTACTTATCAAATTGTTTATAATAGTTTTAGTGTTAAATGCTGTTAGGGACTAATAATATTTATGCAATTAAATATAAGAGGAGGGTTTAGGTATTGAGAAACAGATGATATTAACGTCACAAACAAAGAAATTTAGATTTTTAAAATAGATGTTTTAGATTAGACATGTGCATATTTAATTGTCAAAAAGAGCAGTAAGATTCATTTATTTAAAATATGAAAATAAATGTGATTACTGTAAAGTAGGTGAAGAGGCTTGAAAAAGTGTATACAATTATTAATAATTACCTATTAGAACATGTAATAAATTGTACTACTTTGTGGGGTTAAATAATTCCTGATGTAGTTTATGCAATTTTTTTGCAAAATAATATGACAAATTTTAATGTTAATGTATTGTAGTATATGACTTGTTGATAATTTAAAAAATTATTGATGGCACTAATACTGTAAACCTATCCAAATTTTTAGTAGCATAGTTTCAATTTGCTTAAGTTGATATTCTTAAACACACATTCTTATTTTTTAAACAATTCACTGAGTGCATTTAGAGCATTATTCCCATTTTTAAGACTTAGTTTGATACATTTTATTTGTATCTTTCACAAACTAAATACTACAATTTGTTTTCTATTGTAATTTAAAATTTTATAATATTCATGGATTTCTTACTTATTGAATATTAAATCCTGAATAAGAGATAAGTTAACTGAAAATGTACAACTTATATTTTAAATGACTATTAGTTTTTGTATTTACCTCCTGTATACTCCAAATGCAGTGAATTTTCTTTTAATAAACAGCAATGAGTTCATTGCAGAATTTATTAGTGTTTATCTTACCATCAACAATGTTCTCTATCACCTTTATTATGAAATATTTTCTTTGTGAAAATTTTCTCTGAATATTTTTCTGTGAAAACTGATAGATATTTAACTTAATAATAATTTGCCATCTCCACTGACCTTCTGTTCAAGAATTTCAGTAATCACTGCAAAGTTTCTCATAGTAAGGTATTTCAAAATTATTTCAATAATAGTACAATTATAAAACTGGAGATTAGTTTCAATCTAATGAAAATGAGTAGATATTAAAATAATTGAAATATTGAGTAAATTATTTTAATATGGCTAAAGCATTTATTTTAATTGTGCACCATTATTAATCAAACAAAAACAGTCCTTTAACTTTGCTTTTCATAATTAATTCCAGACATATTATTTTTGTCAATAAAAGCATTTTAATTTCTTTGAAACACTTCTTGCTACTGCCTAAGACTTGGTAAGAAAAAAATTGATTCTCATTTCAAGAGAAGACTGCTAAAAAAGAGTGGGAAGAAAAGAACCCGAATTTCCACCCATTTGTGCAACTTTAAGTTTATTTCCAGATTTCCCTGGACAAAGGTACATTTATGTCACATGCTTCGTACTGTACATTTCATACCACCACTTCCTTACTCTTCTACTAAACTACTACACCCCCAACCAACCTTACTTTTCTTTCACAGACAATCTTCTTACTCCCTTTATTTCCTTATGTCATAACCAACAGATAGGATGATACATATTTTAAAATCTACATTAATAAATTCTTTTAATTGAATGCAATCTTCTATTTTTGATCGAAAGTATTTATAGTTTTATTTATAGAGAAGATCATAATATGAACCCCTACTTTTATTTCGACTTAAAAAATATGAATTAAATATTTGTTTTTTTACAGAAATATGATAACTTCATCTTTAGCATTCGTGTAACCTTTATAAAAATATGAACTTTACTAACAGAATGGTTTTAAAAAATCAATAATTCAAAAGATGTCATGTTTGAAATAGTTGTGGTGCTACAGAATGACACAGACTTTCTCGTATAAGTTTTCTATTATCTTTGGTCTGGGCTAGTTATTCGGACTTGCCATATACTGTTGCCAGCTGCCATCCATCACCACCCAAAGTACATTTTTTTAAAATATTTTCTCAATTTTTCGGTTTCCTAACGGTAGAACAGATATATTACTTTAAGAGTAGTAAAGAACAGTAAAACCTCGTCATATACTCAGTGAGGCGATAGATGGTAGCTGACAAAAGGCTGGGACAAGAAGGTAAGTTTGCCCAGACCAACGAAATTAGAAAACTAATTAGTACGAGAAAGTCTGTGCCATTCTGTAGCTCCTATAGTTATTTTTTCGTTTACGTACGTATATACGGAGTAATATACGTAGTATAAAGAATGTTATGTAATGCTGCGGAAAATCGATTTCGAAATTGCAGCGGTAATACACGTTTTGGGGTCCTCTGATACTGAAAAAATTGTTTTCGAAACGTACGTACGTTCGTCCGTCCGTCCGTCCGTCCGCCCGGTGTATGCGAAGAACACTAGCAGTTAAACTGTGCGAATGATGTTTTCAAAACTGAAAAGAAACAACCCTGCCGATCTGGGCTTAGTCGAAGCTCTGCGATTTTGAGAAACATCATCAATTTTTGGGAGGTACTTTATCAAAAGCTCTCGGGAAATTTTCAGAATTTTCTCAAAAACGATTCCAATTTTTTTCTTTAAATTTCTTGTAAAAAGAGAGTGAAATACATGTATAAAGATGGCATATGTCTGATTTTCACTGATAACTGATTTTTTTAAATTGCAAGAGATTGAAAGTTTTTTGACGTCTTCCTAGAATTACAAGATTTAAAATAGAGATTTTTCTATTAATGAGAGATATTCACAATAACGCTGAACATTACCCCGCGCGTTTTATAATAATTACGAACTTAAGTTCACCAATTGATTACTTTCTCGCACTTACTAACGTAAGAGAAATTATTGTAATCGAGCGCCGGAAAACATCGGACTTTCAACACAAAAACTCTTATTGCCGGGCCCTGGTAAGGAAAAAGTGGAAAAATCTAGATGCTAAATGTACAAGAAAATCACTAACACATGGTGTAGCTAGAATCCATGCTTTGTGCGTTCTTCATTCCGAAAAATTGATTGACGGCAAAACGTCTGCCTGTTTGTCCGTCCGTCCGTCCGTCCGTTTGTCTATTCATAACGCTAGTGCGTAAACCATTCAGCCGAATTTCTCCAAAATTGATATTCCCAAATCGTTCTGGGTGATGTCGCGGCCCCTGGGATTTGAAATCGATATTTTAAATTTAGGGATACTTTACATGAAGGCCCTGGGACATTTTCAAAAAAGGCTCCAAATTTTTGAATTAAATTTTGTTGTTGGATAGTGCGAATGACGTGTAAGAGAATGGTGCAGGTCTCATTTTCGTTAAGATCCCCGATTTTTCGAAATTTGCAAAAAAATATTTTAAAACTACAAAATTGAAAATAAGAGATTTTTGCCTCAATGTCTGTTGTACTGATTTAGCTCTTTAAAGAAGGCCTTGTACTATTTTTTGTAAACGTTAGTAGTTTTCGCGTAACTTCTGTTTGAAATGAATGAAGGGCGTATTTGACGATAACATTGCGAGAAAGTATGTAATATCGTAGCACCACAAGTTAATGTACGTTATTAGGTCAGCTTAATAAAATTTTGGTTTGCTTAATTATTATTATATTTATTCTCAAAATACAGAAACAAGTCCATTTTTTATAAATAAATTTGAAGATCCGCGAAGTGAAATGACTAAATATGCCGCCCTTGCCTCCCATGAATTCCGCGCCTCTGCTTACATGCACTACACTACATGGGATGCCGGAACACCGATCGGGAGCTTGGTGCTTCTCCCGGCTGGTGCCCTGCTGGTGGACGGTACCTGGTTGGGGACAACCGGCTAGCCCACGGGAAGGTCAGCGCATATCTCACCATCCAGCGGAGGAAGATTCCAACACTTTTTACTCCAACCTAAATACAATAAAGTCACAACAACCTGGCACAACATACAACAAAGCAGTCCACTACAACCTGGACTTCCCAAATGGAATTAAAAACAGATTCCCTTTCGAAGCCTTCTTAACCATTTTTCCTTCTAACTCCTTAAACATTTTTTCCATTAATTGTTCAAAGTAGAGGCTCTTGTAGTTTCTTACACCACGAGAAATACAGTCAGTGATAAGTTTAGTATAAGTTATAATGCAAGTCATCACAACACATGATAAAGTGCTACGTTACTGAACTGGGTAATAATCAAACATTCAATAAATAAATTGATTACAAAATGGAGGAAGATTACCGCCATTTCCCAAAGAAAACATGAACTACACTTATCGGAATCACCAATCAATCAATCGTGTATACCAATGTGGATATTGGATACCGGACGATCTGCATACCGATAAGTACTTGCAGCGCCGAAAGATCTTTTCATATTGAAACTCAGATCAAAAATAACCGAACATCGATTAAATGCGCTTACTTTGTTGGCAATCAGAAATTTTATAATCAATGAACTGTGTTATCGACCAATTAGCAAGACACAAGAGATTTTCTTTTTTTATGTAAAATTATTCAATTTATTGTTAAACAGTTGTATAATTATTAAATGAATAAATTCTGTAGAAACTTTTGAAATTTTGTCTTAATTGAAAATTAAGGAATCGAAAAAAAGGCGGAGTTCACTCCCCAAGCCGCCACATGTATAAATCCGCCATTGATTAAACCTATTTTCATACTGAAACAAGAGTATTTCTTTCAACCCATTTTCATGTAACCTTCCACGCCAAGGATAGACGGGCCAGACAATTGTATTATGGTTATTTTTTTATTACAATAAAGAGAGGCTTGCAAGGATCACGCGGATAGCATTTTTTCATTATTCGAATATTTTTCTTTTGCAATCTAAAGGTTTGAATACTACATGATGAGCTTCCCCAGAATATGATGCCATATCTCAAGTGAGAATGCACATTTGCAAAATACTCGCAACGAGCTGCATGAAGGCTGACAGAATTTGAAAGACCTCTGAATGCGTTACATATTAAACTTAATTTAGTTATTGTTACATGTACATTCCATTGAGGTTTCACTGAATTGAGAGAAATATTGTCACCTAATATCAGCTAACTCCATATCGTTCATTTTCAATGGAACACGCGATTGCTGATTTGCAATGCATTGAAACTGTTTTTCTTCCGTTAACCATTAATTTGTTATTACAAAACCAATTTGAAACTTCTGAAATCGTACCATTTATTGTTTCTTTTTTTCCAAAGAAGATTCGTGTCATCGGCAAACAGAATCGTTCATCCGTTTTTAATTGACGAGAGCGTATCGTTTACGTATAAGTATAACAGAAAGAGGATATGACCTAATATCGAACCTTGCAGGACCCTATATTCAATTGGTAAAGAATTGGAAAGATAAGTAAATAATGACTTTTCGTACCAGTACAGGATTTCTAATCTTTGAGATCGATGTTGAAGGTACGAGGTTATCCCATCTAGGGTGATACCATGAATTCCATAAGAAGGCAATTTTGATAGCAAGTTGTTATGGACAATAACGTCACAAGCTTTCGAAAATCTAAAAATATGCCAATGTGTGCTTCATTTTGGTCCATTGATGAAGCAACATCTTTAAGAAAGAGAAAAAATGGCAGTTTCCGTAGATTTTAATTATCTAAAACCGTTTTGTAAGTCTGAAAAACCTTCGTTTTTCAGCAGAAAAAGTTTCCGTAGGCGTATAGAAAAGCCTCTTTAATATTTATGAGAAGACTGAAAAAATGGACATTGGACGGTAATACAGAATTTCATTTTTGTTTCCTTTCTTAACACGTGGCTTAATTTTTACTTGCTTCTATTTCATTATCCTTTAAAACAACTATCTCTACTAAGTACTGAGATGATGTGGTTGTATTTTTGACGATATTCCACATTGCATTTTTTGACATGTATCGCATGTTTCGACAATTTTGAAGGTCTTTGGAACATCTTGGCCAAAAGTAATATTGATGAAAATTGATTAATAAGAAGGGGTTAATTATTTAGCAGGCTCCATAAGAGGCCAAATAAGACCTCATGCTAATAATTATCTCTACACTTCTCCCATGTCTAGCAAAAGGGAGCTGAAAAAACTTGGGACATTTACTGCCAAAGGGGGCCATCTTAGTGTTTACTCAAAGGAACAAGGAAAACTGAACAGAAACCCTGATCGAGTTGGTGTCATTGATCTAACAGCTTAATTACTATACTTGTTACTAATGAAAGTAGTAATACTAATACTAATAATAATATTAATATACTACACCCTACAATACTTAAATTCAATTAACACACCTCCAAAAAACCAAAAAGAATTGCCAGTTTGATTCAGATTGTTGAAAAGTTCAGTTTTTCCAGTTCAAGGGCAGGAAAAGAAGTATTGTGCTTAAAAGAATGAAAATATGTCTCATGATAATAATGATACCAGAAGAGAAAGAACTTAAGTTTCTGCTTGAAATGTTAGCTGTGTGGCCAGATGGTAAAGAAGAATGTCCCAGTAGTGAATGCTAATTAATGTTAAATGGGAGAGAAATGTTGAGTCTTGTGTAGGAATTTACAGAATGAAGAAAGATCATTCTGAAGAGAAATGGAATGAATTGCTTAATTATTACCTAAAGAGTGAAAGGGAAAGACATAAAATCAACTCGAAACAAAAAGTTATAATTCAAGTATGGAAAGGACAATTGTTAGATTGAAGTGGGATTGTGATCATGAGGATGACAAACTGAATGATGATATTACCTGCAGAAATTTTCATATACAGAGTCCAGAAACTGTTAAAAATTATTCAAAAAATGGGTGGCAAAGGAGTGAGCAAATAATTTTACAGGGATCAGTACAAAAGAGGGTGAGGCTGAGGAGATCACCAATATGAAATTAGCACCGGAAGGTGAAAGATTCATGAATTCTGTTAGTTTTGAGTCTTCGAAAATGGAAAATTGTGATATGGAAATTCCTTCATCAGAGATCGCAGGCAAAGGAACTTTGAAGCTTGTAAGAACACAAGACACTCCTGATCAAAAAAGAAGAGATAGAAATTCTACTGAGAGTAAACCAAGTCATGACAATCTGGATTTAGAAACTGCTAGAATTGTAGAGACACAGAGCCTCAAGAAGTTACTGGAACTAAAAATACATAAGAAAACAAAGTGGGTGATTTCATCTGTTAATGAAGATAAAACATAGTATGTCCCTTGAATAAGAAAAGCAAGAATCAAAGTTAAGAGTATCTGATAATGTAGAATAAAATACACAGCCTGGAAAACCCCAAAAACAGATATTATCTTCTATTGATAGATATAGCTGTTCAGAATGTACAGTGTTGAGTCAGAAGAAGTCAAAGAAATAGGTAAAAGCAAATCAACTAGGCTCCAAAGAAAACAAGAGTAAAACTGATTTTGCCAATAAGAAAAAGCAAAGAAAAACAAGAGAAGAAATGTGCAAATAGAATCAACAGTTTAGAAAATTACAGTTCTTCTAATGCTAATTATACAAAAAATAAATTGTATAATCTCCAGGATCTGAAGACTTTGCAGAATGAATGTAGGAATCACAAGCATGTGATGATGTTGCAGAATGTTGCTGTGATAATATTACTGTGGAGGAAATTTAGACAATTTTTTTTATGGGCTGTTTAAGAGAGAATCTCAAACAAATGACATTGTTTTAAATAGAACGTTTTGTGAAAATGAATGCAGAGATTGTGATGATGCACATTTGACAAGGCTGTGCCGAATCATGGTTCTATGTCAGGAGAGAACGAATCTGCCATTTGAATTGTTAAAAAAATAGAGGCCATCAATAAGTGCAGGACAGGTAGAAAATCTGGAGAGATAGGAGGATATGTTCTTAGGTGGCATCTGATGAAAGACTTAATAACAATGCAAATTCAATGCGCAAAACATTCAGAGGGAACCTAAAAACTCAAATGTCATAGCTTTGAACGGCCAAAAAGAAACATCGATATATGTGAAGGTGATGAGGGTAGTGACAAAAAACATTATTATGATTTTACGGAATAAGAACATGATAGTTCAGCAACAAGTCTTAACATTCTCATGAACCAAGCAATTTTCTAGTCAATAAGATAATTTGGAATATTATTTTGACTTAATAGTAAGGATAAGTTAAAATTTAAAAAATTCTCAGGCCTCTCCAAAACCAGAGGGTTATCTTATGTTAAGAGTCAACTTATACTTGGGTAAATGGATAAGTGTGAGAATGTTAGTGTACATTTGTAATTGTAAGCATGTACAAAATAATGGGAACTTATTGTTTATTTATATAAGAATCTATGGGTGAATAATGTAATGTGAAGCGAGGCAACTTGTTTAATTTTTTGACATAGTTAATATTTTCACATTATTATGTTTGTGATGAATAATGTATATATTTAATATGTAATGTAGGCCTATTTGTAATGAACACAATCTCACAATAAAATGTTAAATACATTACTATTGTAAGTGTACATTGTAAAAGTGTGAGAAGTGATGAAAATAATTAAGTTATTATGTACATATATATATAATATATATACATATACATAATATGTACAATATATATATATATATATTATATATATATATATATATATATATTATATATATATATATATATATAAATTTATAACTACATACTGCTAGTATCATGGGTAAATTATCTTCTCACATGCGTTTGAACAAATTCTGAAAGAAAGAAATATAATTATTATTATTATTATATAATCGTACTATAAAGACACTCCAAGAAATTTCCAACTGTTTTTGACAAAATTTCAGAATGCTTTGCTTATTGTTTGCAATGCCCAGGCATTTGGAAATGAATCCATTTGGCTAAGCAAATACGGGATCCAATTCGAATGAGAAGAATATCAAAAATGACCTAGGACTTTATGGAAAATACCCCCCCAAAATTGAGAGATCACAGGAAGTTAGTGCTAACCCATATGTCTGTAATTTTTGTCAGCCAAAGGAAAAACAAAGTGTTGGTAAATTCAAACATGTCTTTGCTTCTAATATACACATCTTGCTGTTTTTTGCAGTTGCTAATTGTTTATTTTAGTTTCTACTGTAGTTTTACAAACACATTTATACAGTTTTTTGATCACATTTGTTCTTAGATGTTCAAAGATTTTTATTTTAGATTTAGTAAATGAGAGTATCTTCCCCCGGCCACTTCAATTAAAAGATCCATTTCAAATTTGAGGGTATGCAACCTCAAGATTGATGAGACAATATCCATTTTGGTGAAAATGTATAGAATTTAGATGTGTACTGAATGTGTGTGCTGAGGTTGCTTCACAGGCGAATAGACAGACAGAGAGACATTTTAAGAAAAAGAAAAACTTATTCAGTATAAAGGGTCCACAGAACGCAGATTCTGTGGGCCCACTACTTTAAAGGTACAAAAAAGTAATTTACAAAATACAGGAACACCAAAAATTCCCTGCAGCATTACATAATGTTCTCTATCTGCACAGTACATACAAAAAATAAAAATGTTCTGCATTACATGATTTTCAAAGACTTCACATTTCATACTAAAATAGTTTAGTTAGTAAGTTTTTAGATATGCCCAAATTTCTTAGTTACAAAATATTTTGTTTACTTTTAAGGGGAGAGAATTTTCCTCCCTCTCCCCTCCCAAGGATCTCACTGATATTCAGATTTCAAAATAATCCACAATATTTAATATTTCTACACACAATTCTTCTGGATATTAGAATAAAAAATGAAAAGAAAGAATACCATTCTCATTATTTAATGAATGTATTACAATCTATATAAACACACACATTAAATAATACATAAATTCCTCAAAAGGAACTTCATTATATTTATCAAACAAGCAGTCATACAATGAACTTCAAGGCAATGTCTATCAGTAATTACACAACATGATACAAAAAAGTATTTTTATGTACATAACATTTATTACAAGAATATGGCAACATTTGTACTACAAACACTTTCTATAAATATCAAAATCTGTTAGTTTCCAGACTTATATCATTCTCACAAACAACTTAATGTCAATATTATTGACTAAACTTTCATTCCAATTAAGTATTAATTTATCTACACATTACAAATAATATCAATTCAGTTTAGAAAACCTTCTTTAACATAAATTCTTATAAAATCATAAAATTAACTGTACAGTGCACAGTCATCTAGTTTGTGCAAATAATAAAAACAATATGAAAATTTAAAGCAGTAAATTCACTTCATCAAGAGTTCAAATTTGGTCAAATTTCTACTGAATGAAAAATGTTCATTTATTAAAATCTTTATAAACTTGTACTTTCATTATAAACTTTTTGGTAAATGTCATGTTACCCAGTCTCTTAACAAAACTTCTGCTGAGTAATAGTCAACACATGGAAAATTTTAGAAAAGCACATTTCCAATAGTTTTTATAACAGTTAACATTTATAGCAAACGTGAATAAATCACACATCAAAATAATTTTGATCAAGACACATTTTTACAGAACAGTCTCTTGTAGGATACATAAGCAAAAATTACATTTTGCCTGATATATATGTATATAAATATATTGAGCAATAGTAAACATGTTTCACAAGAAGAAAATTGCTCAAAAATAAACATTTCACAGTGCTTTTTCTTCTTTAACTACAAAACTCAGCAAAAGAAATGTTTAAAAATGTATTATCATAGTTCTCCACTAGGTAAAATATAATATTCACTTTGGTCAATAGTCTTCAAAAATATGAAGAACATGGTAATACTCAGAGAATTAGTATCAGAGATGATCTTACGCTAAGAGAAAGAATCATCTTTAGTTATAATCAAGAGCCATGACTCTATGGATAAAAACATCATGGCAAAAATTATAATAGAAAATATGAAAATTGAATCTTTCATGAATATTCATTAGATACAAAACTGCAGAAATGTTTTAATAGCAACTATGTTCTGAACATGTAAATAAATAAAAATAATATTTGCCAGAGGTAAATATTTTAGAAGATACAACAGCAGCACCACACAAAAATACACCAACCATGCAGATGAAAAGAACGTAGGTATAATTGGTGCACAATCAGAAAAAAATTCTTTGAAATTACTTCTGAGACTAGCCCAGGTATACTGAACACAGCTGAAAGAAATTAAAGCACACTTTTTGTCAACATTTGACTAGGGACTGTTTCAAAGCATGCTTATAAATAATGATAAAGTGGAGATACATAATATCACAGTTCATTAGATATGCAATCTTTCTAGAGAACTCTTCATTCTGCTTCCAGAGTACATAACCTACATTACAAATAACATTTTTTCTTCACCTACATAAACATCCAACATTCAGTATTGGGAAGGAATAAGTTAAACAACCATTTTCCAGAAGTACATTTCCAACAATGATCTTTGCAATTTAGTATATTCTCACATTCTTGTGCAGTAACGTTTGTGAAACATCCAGTGGGAGCCCTGGAAAAAAAAAAAAAAATTATATAAAATAAACTTTTAGAAAAACTGAACAAAAATAGAATCTGAAATTCAAGAATATTTCTTTTAAATAAAGAGGGGCAAGTTAAATAAATAACAAACTACTGGATGAAAAAATGATATTGTGAGAAATATGACTTCAATAAGACATTTAGTTGATCTTGGCAAAACCATTTTCATGCTGAAAATAAACTAATCTAAAATAAAAATAAATTCATTTATTCATAGCTATTTTGAAAATTATTTCAATTTTACATTAATTCCATAGAAAACAGAACTTTTATCTAAATTAATAAATACCTTTTACTGACTGACAAAACTAGAATAAATGTTCCATCTGAATTTCAAAATAATTACATTAAATGTTAATGTAGGAAGATTTTTAGTTGTAGTGAGCAGGCACTGCAATTAAATACCTTGCTCCAAACCAAGGAGGCCTATTTGCACTCGTAGGAAACAGTATTTAGAATCTAGTTCTACTAAAAGGAAGTATTCTTGAGATTTTTCTGCAACATAACAGTGATAGACAAGTTGTTTTGTGTAGAGGAAAAATTTTATTCCTTTCCCTTAATTGTGATTCCATGCAAATAAGTATGTCAACTACTCTTACTGCAGGACATGATAACTTCTTGTCATGCACATGACAGAACTCGCCAACAATGAACCCTACTTACTAACCCCTACATAGATGCAGGATTGGATCAATATAAGCACAAGATCCATGAATAGTACATAATGAAATTATGATGTAATGATGAGCATTAGTACAAGAGTGTAATATTACGATATAAACAAGAACTGAGCAATAATAGTACATTTTAATAACGTGTCATAATGTTAATATTTTTTTAATAGTGTCATGAGTGTATTAATACCTATTACAACAAGTCTAATTCGGTACTTTTTCTATGACTTACAGTAACTTTTATAAGTTAAACTTTTATATTGAATCATTTGGTGGCAGTTGACAGGATTCAGCCTAGGCCAACGAGCGGGCAGCCACCCTATCGCACGTGGTTTTGATTCACTAGTCCGCCTGCGAGAGAGTACACAAGTTGCGGCAATAATTGGTCACCATTTTCGCTTTTTCTATTATTTCAGGTAGTGACAACTCAACCTATGATTCACTAGACATTTTAAACTAAAGAACTGGCCGGTTTTTAAAGGCAACCACCCAGCTGCAACATATAACACGAAACTACTTGTATTCTGACCTTAAAATAAGTCAAATGTTCCCTCTACCACTACCACTGCCCTAGTCAAATAGGATCAAAATGAAATTATGATTCAATTTATTTTAAATAATATTCTATGCAAAACTTACTAACAATTCAAGAAAAGAAAACTGACAAGCATAATATCATATTAAATGCTATTTTAATGTCACAATGGAACAAAACATTTACTAGAACTATTCTCAATGATTAAGTGTCAATAATTGGTTCGTAAACTTCTCTGTGATTGGTTAAGAACCTGTATCATAACGAAATCTGAATCGCAATGAGTATCATTATGCAATGAATTACAGCCATCAACTGACAGCCGAAAAGGGATTCCCGAGCTGGATGTCCTACGAGTACCGTCGCTGGAGATTTTGAATTTGCGTATGCTTAAATTGCCACGTGGCGATATACATCCGGCGCGCTGAGGAAGAAAACTCAACGCCCCCTGGCGTGGGGCAGCCATCCACCCCCACTCTTAGGAGGAGTCACCTGTCGACCGCAGTGCCTTTTACACGTTTCAAGGCAACTCTTCAAACTAGCTTTAGAGCAGTTCAGCGGCCGGAAAGAAGTTAAGAAAACTGAGGTGCGGCCTCGGCTAGCGACCCTGGTATCGCCCTAGGATCAAAGGGGACCAATCCACTTCCCCCATACGGGAAAATCCTCCGCAGCATGACCGTGACTAAGCTGGTGGAGCTTTCCTGAACCCCAGAGAAATCTCTAGGCAGCAACCTCCCTTTGTCCCTCCACAGATCCCACTGCACAATTCTTTGGACCCACTTTCAAGCAAAGACTCCGTTTCTTCCACCTCAACATCGACTCAACAAAACCAAAACTACTCCACTTTCACCTCAACATCACCCATACAGGATCAAAACACTACCACAAAAATCCCTCAAAACGCAACTCATCTCAGACCACCATGCCCCCGACTATGCCAACCAGGAATGGGCAAATCAAAACTGACTTACACTCTGTCTTAGTGTTGACGAACTGACAAAGGCAAGTTACAAGTGCAACAAATTGCAAAATGCAATAGATCTGAACTTCTAATCATACTAAAAACAGTAATAGCTCACACCCAAATATGAGACAGACCGGAGAAAATAAGATCTGACCCACGACTGAATTCATGGTACTTCCTAATTTCGTACTACTTACTTCAACAGAGCGACTAAAGATACACGTGATAAACTTGTACTCAAAGGACTATCACCCAGTTTCCCAGTAGACATCATCAGACAACACATCACCGAATTAAAAACTCACAATATCACTGAAATGCAGCGTCGGGTCAATGGGTTATTAATTCCCCTTGGACTACTTACCTTAGAAATCCAGGAAAGACATTACAGAAATTAGGCAAAAACTAAAATATATTGGACACTACAGAATTCGGACTGACAACTACCAAAAAAAACAGACCGCATCCCCCAATGCAAAAACTGCTTAAAAGTATTTCCCACTAGGACTTACAGCCGACGCTACACTTTTTATGCTCTCTGTGGCAGTCCTCATCCACCTGAATCCTGCCCTCTCTCACAAGCAACTAACACCATCAATAAATGGTAAGTGTACAGGATATCATCCTACTTACGACCCCACATGCCATTATATCTCCCAAGCACGCCAAGTAAGACAAGAGATCACCAATACCACAACCACTTCCCCCTATTTCAAAACAATCCCCAATCTTTCCCACATCTCAGAACCCCTACAAACCTAGGCTTCCAAGTCAACGGCAGAATCAAAACCACCACCCCAATCCCAATCAACATCATATTCACATCATTAAAGAACCTCATCATAAGAGACCTCAAAGAACTCTTTACTTTCCTAAGATAATCCAAATTACACAAAATCCTTCAAACCAATAAAAGCATCATAGACATATACAAAGGCCCAGACGATATCCTCCAGAAACTCTTCCTAGCAGGCATGAAACTCACAGAATAGGCTATTTAAATGGCTCCCTCCTTTCATTTCCATTATTCCTCATTGAATGCACGTGGCGGTCTTAACCGTCAGGATTCCCTGTTTGCTACTTCACATCGTAACGACCGCCTCACCCCAATCGAAGACACGGCCATTCTAATGAGAAGAAATATCCCCCACACTGAATTCTAATTTCCCAACACCACTGCCGTATAATGCTCTGCTGTAATTGTAGGTAGTCCCACTAACTGCCTTAATAATCATTTCAGTTTACATTAAAGCTAATACACCCTTACTTGACTCAGACCTCACTACCCTCCCCAACCTCCCACATCCGTTTATTCTTACTGGCAACCTAAATTCAAAATCCCCTCAGTCGGGAAGCCGGACTTATAATGTACCTGGACGAAGAATCGAAAATTTCTTAAATGCACATCCATCCAAATCAAAAACTTCTCTGAACCCACTCACTCCATCCAAGAGCAACCAAATGACATCCTAGACATAACTCTCCATCCACAACTTAAACATTTCTACATCTATACCAAACTTCGATGTCAACTGTTCCGACCACACAACCATGCTATTTACTACAACAGCTACCATCCCTTTCCGCACTCTCCAACCACCTCCCAGATCTCAAAGACTGGAAATCCTATTTTCAAAGTATCTCCAAAAAGAATTCGCTCTCCTCTTACCGTATCTTCCATATCTGAAATGAAAAATCAATAACCCACCTGACAAAACAAACCAATAACCCCTTCAGAAAAACACAATAACCAACAACTTACACCCTACTCTCCCTAACGACATCCTTATGGTAATCCGACAAAAATACAGGTACAACGACAATCCTATAAACGCAGACGAGACGATAACTAACGACGATTAAAACTACGAAGACAAATACACAACGTACTGATTCAACAGGAACGACAAAAGCTTGACAACGTAATAGAGAACAGCGGCCCGAACCTTATTCACAAAATTATCCCAACCGATAGAGCAGCCCCCACAAACATTTCACCCCTCCTTACCCTAATTTTTTATTCCCAAACTATTACTGACACATTTTCCCGATCCCTGACTATGCACTTCCTTTCTCAAAATCTCTCTTAATTCCGACAATGTTCTCAAAAAAAATTAAAATCACACACAGACCTCTCAACTCCCAACATACCTACACAACATCAAACCTCGAAATTAAACAAATAATTCAGACCATCACCAGCAACAAAGCTCCAGGACCCGACGGAGTTCTTCCCAAATAAAACAGCTTCCAACAACTTGGAAAACCGCCCGCGTTACTATACTACCGAAACCCAACAAAGATCATTGAATTTCATTCTCTTGAGACTCATCCCATCCTGAATCCTGTTCTGCCCGGTCGGTTGGTTTCTGGGAGGGCCGTTCTGCGGCCCTCCAAACCCTAAACCTTGCAACGTCAGTAGCCACCTCACTCCGCCACAAGAGAGAAATCCCTGCCGATTTACCGACCTTTCTCACACCTATGACACCGTTGCACCGTTCCTTGACAACATCCTCTTAATGAAACTCCACCCACACATTCCAACCCATCTGTACACCATCCTGCAAAAATACCTCCATCAAAGATTTTTTTTTATGTGCACCCCTGTCAAAATCTTCTGCCAAATATCCCATTCACGCCCGCGTCCCACAGGGAGCCGTACTCTCTCCCATCCTTTTTTCCTTGAATGCGAACATTCCTCATACGTACGGTGTCAAGGTGTTCCTATGCACCGATGATTTTGCTTTCCTCTAACCCTTCCTATCCCTGCCCCGCTTCCTCATTCAACTTCAAAAGTGCCTCAAATCCCTCCACCTCTGGGCCTGCGAAAATGGCCTCATCATCGCCATCACCATCAAACCGGAAATATGCCAAACCATTATATTTTATTTTCATAATACCCCCATTTCTGTCCTAGCCCTCCAAATCTCTCAACATCCCATCCACTTGACTCCCTCCACCTTGGTATTCATTTTTCTTTCAGACTGCTATGGATCTACCACAAAATGCAAGCCATAACAAAATCCTAACGCATCCTACAATTCATCTTTACACACCACTCCCTTCCCACCAACAAAATACTAGGTATCCATCATACTTACATCCGCCTCATCCTTACTTTTGCCCAGCCAACCTGGTTTCACATCTCAGTCTACAATCATCATAGAATCACCCGCTTTGAAAATATAATCCGTCGCCTCATATTCCACCCTCCACCTTAAACAAGATATAACGACATTCGGTCCCAACATCAAATTACCCACATCCGCACCTGTCTTCACAATTCTTCCCAAAACAAAATTAAAAACTTCCTTTGAGATAGAACCTATAACCATCTTCTCACACCCTACCTCCACATCCTCTAAACTCAGCTCGGAAGTAGAATTAAAAAAACATCTTATCAAAATCGTCCAACTCCCACCTCCACCCACTTAAGCCAGAAACGTACGACTAACTCCCTACAAGACATACATACTGACATACTGACTAAAACAGATTTTTCAGGAATCCCCAACAAAACGAACAACGCAATCGAAGAAACCATAATATAATAACCCATCTCTTCACCCATAGCCATCAGAAAACAAATCCATCCTCACTTCTGAAACTACAAGCACAATAAAAGAACCCCCCTCCTCCACTGAAAAGAAACAACATACCCCTCACGACTCCCCCAACACCCTAATAAAAGAACCCGTCTTTTACCTAAACAAAACAACCCATTCAATCCCAAATTCCATTCAGTAACCAAATCCCCGTCCTCGTATGGGGGAAGGTTGCCAACAAGAAACTTTTGAAGCCAGGCATACACAAACAACAAACGCAATGCAATGCAATCAAATGACAGAATTATACAACGGGAGTAGAAAAACTTTATTTTGAAAGGATAGATTCTGAAATAGAACTATTCAAACATGATTTGGGAAAATCTCTTATCCAATGCTAGGGTGACTTCTACTTGCTGGCAGAACATTTGAAATTTTTAAATATATTTAAACATGCTAATTCCATCATCAATATTACTGATAAAGTTCCCTGGAAAGTCTCGGGAAATCCAAATGGCAAATGACTCTGCGGATATATTTATTGATTTTTCAGATTATTTCTCATTTATCCTCGTTTAAGTATCACATCCGAAGAGAATTTAGTATCAAATATGAAGCAACAATATAAAAATGTAATTTAAAAAGATTCTTCCTCTTTTCTACGCAAACAAAAAGAGATTATATACCACTAAATGAAATTGTGAAAATGAACTTCAAATCTTACCTGACAATATTTGCTGCAATACTTAGTCTGATTGCACAATGAGCAAACAAACAAAGCTGAACGGCGGCAAAGAACACACACAGCATGGGGACCCAGAGGAACAGCAGGTTCAGTAGAAAAATTACGTTTAGTAGAGAGAGTATCTTCACCAAGAATTCTGTTTGAGATACTGTTCAAATCTTGATGTTTTGGATCAGGTGGGTAGGTTTCCTCCACAATCTCTAATTCTGGGAATGATTCAGATGAAGCAGCTAAGGGAGCGTTTTTCGAAAGTAAATGCTTTCTAAGCTGTGAAAAATCGTTTTGAATATCTGCAGCACAAACATGTCGGTCTGATAGCACTGTCGGCAGGTTCCTATGTTCTTCAAGGCTACTAACACTAGATGCAGAGTCTGAAACCTGTGGACGCCTGGTCACTAGTTCATTGATCTCTTTGGGCCTCTGACTTCCCACTGACAAGTCAAGAGGAGATTCGTTAATATCTGAATACCTCTCAGTGTTTGAAAGTCGTCTTCTAGTGTCTTGGTCACCAACTGACACCAGAGTTGATCTCTCATTCCTTGAATCACTAGATATGGAAATGGGCACAGCAGATTCTTCACCTCCCACAGATCCATCAACAGTACATTCTGTTGAATGTGGAATTTGTATAGCACCTCTTCCAGAATTTTGTATTTGAGCAATATCTCTATTTGGCAATTCTCTATTAAAAACCATCAAAGAAGTATTCTGTTCATTCCTGTTTTCAAGACTACTTGAAGTAGAAGGACCCACATGTGGTAGCACTGCATTCTTAGCCATTGGTATTCTCGATTCTTTTATATTTTCTGATGATGCAGTAATTGTCCCTCCAGGTACTACTGCTGTAGCAGTGGTTAGTCGTGACATTGCAGTTCCTACTGCTATAACTGGGGCTGCTGCTGTTACTGTAATAAATGTTTCTGGACATGTTACATCAACTGCAGACGTACTTGTTCTTGCTGTTATTGAGGCTACACTTGCAGCTGTAACATTTTCTGTTACAGCTGCTTCTGCAGTCAGAGTAGTCTTATTTTCAGTTCTGTCAGAACTTGGCACACTGTGTTTCAATTTCAATGTAACTGGTACTTCCACAGTATCAGGAACTATGTCTGACCGTATTGAACTCGTACATGCTGGTGCTGTCCTACTTTCTCGAAATATAGGAGTCTGCTGCTCCACAGAATAATCAGAGGAATGAGAAGGTAAGACTGATGATGCATGAGCAGATACTGTGCTTGACCTTGAGGTCTGTGCCGCTGATAATGTTGCACCGTTTACAGGAGTATGCTGAAAGGTAACTCTGTGATGTGGAGCAGACTGTTGCGCAATATCCTGAAAATAAAAGGACATCGAGATAAGTGTACCTAATTTACACAAATCGTTTTCCAAGTTGCATTTTTACGAAAAAAGGGTTAAAAAGATGTGATAACATTTTCTTCCATTATGATTTGAATCAAATGACAAGTTGCCCATATGTAATGCTACAATAGGACATGAGCGGATGGAATAGTATTGAAGCAAAAGTAGACTGCATTACATAAGGATAAACGGGTGCTAGTTTAGTGTTACATCAAGCCAATATTAACATCTAATCTTTCAATTTGATTCTTTTTCATTATAACTTTCTTCTATACATATGTATGTATAGAGGACTATAACTAAAGAAAGTAAGATTTTTTCCCCCAAGCATTCAATCAAGCATGGTCAAAGCAAGCAATCAAGAATGGTCAATGCGGCCGACCGTCATCATGTCTGTTCGTTCTTCGGCCGTCCGCACGTCCAACAGTTCGTTCGTCC